TTCAAACCCACCAGCCACTCCTCAGAAGGAAGATGGGGCAATCTACTTCCATAGTGATACTGCCTCAGAAACCCAAGGAGGGGTCTCTATGAGTCAGATCTGACTTCACAGCAGTGAGTTTGGTTTTTTTGGTTTATAAAGGAAAACATGGAAGCAAGGCTGGGCAATCTACTTCTGCAAAGATTTACCACCTAGGAAACTCAATGTGGCTATGTGTCAGAATCAAAAATACTTGGGATATTATTGGTTTATCTGGAACGTTGATTTTCTTTCTCTATTGTCTCACATTCTTTCTCTTGCTATGATTCTGGATATTTCCTGGGTTTGAGTAGTACCTATATCTACTGTAAATGAGTTTACATTGCCTTAGAAGCCATTGGGGCTCATTTGAATGATAATTTGGTTTGCAAACCCTTCTCTTCTTCCATCCTACATAAATCATGGTACATTTACACCTCAGTGACTGGTTCATCTCTTGGGCTTTATAGACGACATCTGTCACATGACACCAACATGAGCCATTTTCTTAAATAGAGAAAGGAAAAACAATCTATCAGCTTATTTATTGGTATATAATGTAAAATATACATATTTGACATCCAGAATCATATACACACTAATTTATTCTCTCCTACAATTCATAGTTGGTAGATAACATTGAATGTCCTTTGACACTATGGTTTTGAGAAATCTCTCCTATTTGACAGTTCATTTAACTCATAACCCATTCACATTAGCCTGGGAATTTTGCATTCAAGTGGTGTCTGAGGTACACTTTGGAATTACAATCACAAAGTAGATTAATTTTTACTACATTAATTTTACATAGATATGACACAATTGAGAAGCATGTTTGTTATTTATTTTTACTGATTTTTTACTGTTTTTAATGTTAAGGATGAATTTCACTGATCAGCTATTTGTGACTTTAAACCTGGCATTCTCAATTAGAAAACAGATGAGGCATAAAGAGTGGATTAAAATGCCCTTCCCAGTCAACCCCATTGCACTGGCCATCAGTTAGTAGGAAAGATGGGGGAGCAGGTGCTCTCCATGGAAATGTTAATGAGAGATTTTTTTCCTGGAAGAAATCAGCTGAGGCACTAGGAGGTGGAATTAATAAACTAGAGGTGTAATACTTGAAAAATGAGGGTCCTGACAAGAAAATCAGAAAGAAAAGGAGGATTTACTATCTGCCCTCTGGCATCCTATGAAGGTTAGAGAAAGGTTCATCTGACTTGGCTTATGCTAAACAGCACCTCCCCCTGCCCTAACTGCCTATTCCCTTAATTTCCTGTTGGGTAAAGCCCAGAGATACTTCGAGGCCAATCTCAGATATAGAATCTTCAATGATGACTTCTAAGTCCTGCCATTCAAAATTAATTTTCCTTTTATTCCTTTACATTCTGTACTCTTACTCTTGTCAGCTTGATTGTAAAATGCTTTTGTCCATATCTGCCTTCCCCATCAGATCATGAACACCTGAAGAGAAGGGGATGTATTTTGTTCATCTCTGTATTTTTCACAGCCTAACACTGTATCTGAGTGCCATATCAATTTGTTGAACTGAAAGAAATTTTTAGGATAAAATTTGATGGAAGTTTTATTCACCTACATACTGATTCATTTCATTTAGTTGAATTTATTTCACAAAATGGTCATCAAGCCTCTGCTATGTACCAGACAGGATGCTGAGGATACCAAATGATGCTATAACCCTTATGTAAGAAAGAAAATTGTACCTTTCTTAATTGAAACGAAGTCCCAATCTACAAGGTTATCACTGGCAGTAAATATTCAGATGGGGACAGGCAACTGGAACCGTACAGTTCTGACTCTAGAGACACCTTCACCTAGGGCAGTGGTCCTCAACCTTGCCTGCACATTGAACTCACTAAAGAATTTTAAAAATACTGATGCATAGATGTATTACCCAGAAAACATGATTTAATTGGTCTGAGGTATGGCCTGGCCATATACAAACATGGAATAATGTGTCAGTTATTCAAGTGAACTTGAATACATAACTTGTTTTGTAATTTTCTCCACAAGTCTTCTATATCACTAACAGTTTTTTTTGTTTTGTTTTGTTTTCTTTTCTGTATTTAAATCTTTAATGATCTAACTGGATTTTATATTTATGTACAGAATGAAGTAGAGGTCTATGTTTTTTCCCATATGAAAAGCCATTGATTCCAACACTCTTGTTTAAAACTTGTTTTAAACTATTTTAACTTTTCTCCACTATTTTATGATAGAT